AGTTTTTACACCAGATGAACCGAACACAAACTCACTGTCCGCCCATCACTCAGAGAGACCAAGTAAAACGCAGTTGATCCCTCAACCATTCATAAAAAAGGGACGTAATTAAGGCAAGCGAAATTATTAACATTCTACAAAAAAAAAAAAACGAAAATAAAATAAAAAAATATATCCGTTAAAACTGATCGCGGAGAGATGCTAACCTCAAAATACCTAATATCTGTTAGATTCTTCCAATATTGCCTATATATGCAAGTTGTACTCACATGTACAATATTCGTACAGATATACAGATATATAAGATATACATTCATACATACACAGAAGCACTGCTCTTCCCATTAAATTGATTCTAAATGTCATGATACAATATTAAGTCAACATCTACGGTATTACTATCATCCACAATAGCCGCTATTATCATAAATACTCCCCTTCGTCATCATAATCATTTCTATTACAAAATATTTATCCTAAACTTCGGCATATGAGGAGCTCGATTTCCAAATACACTAATTAGACCCCCCTTTTTTCGGGGATAAGGGGGGGAGGGGGAGGGGGAGCAATAAACCGATAAATACGTTAAAAATAACTAAAATTGCTAAATCACCGACCTGCAGAGATGTAACAACCCTTCCTCGCTTCCTTCCTGATGAATAAATTGAGAGAGAGAAAAAAAAATACATCCTACAAACTGACTAATTATTCCGATGAGGATGTAACTTGGCTGATAATTTTTTTTTTTTTTTTTTTTTTTTTTTTTTTTTGTTTCGAGACTGTCCATAGACACGCATAAGGTCGATTCCATCCTATATCGAGAACGGGGAACACGACCTTGTGATATTTCATTACGCGCTGTGTAGAGAGGTTTGAGCCATAAATTATGATAAACAGAGAGAAAGAGAGAGAGTCAGAGAGAGAGAGAGAGAGAGAGAGAGAGAGAGAGAGAGAGAGAGAGAGAGAGAGAGAGAGAGAGAGAGAGAAGAGAGAGAGAGAGAGAGAGAGAGAGAGAGAGAGAGAGAGAGAGAGAGAGAGAGAGAGAGAGAGAGAGAGAGAGAGAGAGAGAGAGAGAGAGAAGAGAGAGAGAGAGAGAGAGAGAGAGAGAGAGAGAGAGAGAGAGAGAGAGAGAGAGAGAGAGAGAGAGAGAGAGAGAGAGAGAGAGAGAGAGAGAGAGAGACGAGAGAGAGAGAGAGAGAGAGAGAGAGAGAGAGAGAGATGAGAGAGATAGAGACGAAACGAAATTAATTTTAAAAAAATAGACAATGAGACGGAGAATCAAACAGAAAAAGACATTAGCAAAAAAATCAAACAAGTAAAAACACCTCGAAAAAAAAATACAAAAATACGATTTCAGTCTTACAAAATCTCTCAATTGCAGCGAATCGCGCAATCACCAGCAAGAGAGAAAAGAGAAGCAATTGCCCGCGAAATTTTCAATATTACACGTCGGGGAGCGCGGGAATCACAATCTGCACCCGTGGTTATCGCCGCCATGTTTTCATTGTCAAAACAAAATTAGGATATTTTCTCAGGTTGCATTCGCCGCGCTTCCTTCTCTCTCTCGTTATGGTTATCAAGGGATTCTCTCTCTTATGTTTTATTCTATTCTGACGCGGCAGTCTACAGAACACGGTCTCCGTTCGAAGATTATATTTGGCGGCATCAGCGTCCGTTGGGTGATAGTGCGACCGATCAGCTGTTCGCCCTTTCCCGCCATTCCAAGTGTGAATTGTCCGTTTCATTTTAGGAAATTTAGCCTTTCTCTCTCGTCGAGAATATTATTTATATAAGCGCATCATGATTGTTCTTATTATTATCATTATTATCATTATGATCGTTAGCGTTGCTCAACTTTATTATCAATATCATTATTATTCTCTATAACCACTGGTAGTTTTGTTATTACCATGGCTATCATGATGGTTAATATTATCGGCGATATCTTTGCCATTAATGAAGCTCTACCACCCAAGCGACGATGACGACCTTCGCCAAGCCAAACTCCCCCAAAAAATGTGAAAAGAAGAGAAACAAAAAGTGTGCAATCGCTAGCATTGTCTGCCGAGATATTGCGAGTGTTCAAAGAATTTGCGCACCGAAACGAAGACAACGCGAA